CTCCCTCCCCGCCCCAGGCCAGATGGCAGAGCCAGGTCTTCAAATCCCTCCGAAAGGCCTGGAGTGAGGGGGCCTGTCTTTTGCTATTTCTGCTGTAATTCTCTAACTCTTGTTTGGGATGGTTCAGCTAGCTATAATGCAGTTTTTAAAAAGAGAATTCACTTGCTATCTTAAAATATATTAAGGATGGGCATGTTTGAGAAGTGTAAGAAGTAGCCATTTAGTCATGTTTCTGCCTTTAATAATTTTAGCTGAAACTTCCAGGGGCATAGGCAGATGGGGCCAGTAAATCTGCCACTTTTGTAATTGGGAATAAATTTCAAATATCTCTGCCTGCTGGTCCCTCCCTGCAATATAATAGAAGCATAAAAAAACACACACAAAAACTAGTCAGAAAGGGAGCGAGTGAAATGCAGACCTCCTTTTTAGTTGCAAAACCCACTTAGAGCTCATTTGGATACTGTAATAAAATGTGCCAATGTAGAAATGCACCGATATTGCATCCAATAGGCAAGCATAATGTAAATGCTTTCATTCATTTTTAAGCTTTGTCAGGCGTGACTGTTGTTCTTGCAACAGCTAAAATACAACAGTACTCCAGTAACTCAACTGATGCCTGCAAAGCAAGATGTACCTAGCTTGTAAATCCGAGCTGGAAAAGGAATTATTTCTAGGTTTCGCAGACACCCATGGCTGGATTTTTTCAGTTTGTAGAATGCAGGAGAACAAATCCTAACCTACTAGTAATTTTACAGTAATCTTTCCTTGAAAGAGATAGTCACTTTGCTGCACTCAATAAATCTTTGATATAACCCTCTCCAGCCTTAAAAGCTGATGGCATTTCTCAAAAGACATAACAGCATTTTAATTTCCCATCTCTATAAATCAAGTGAAGAGTCGCCCTGATCAAAACTTGCCATCCATTTCAAAACTGGAATTTTTGCATCTTTTAAAAACTGGGCTTTTTGGACTTCCTATACTTGAAAATTACACACTGGGGACAAAAATGGGCTTGTTAGCATCACCTTATGGGGGGGGGGGAAATACACACACACAAATTTAAAAGCTCCCAACCTATGTTAGGTAGC